ATCATAAAATTCACAGAGTTCTAAAAATCTTACTGTATCCTTTTGCTAAAAGGTTTGTGAAAATAAGATTATATTTACTCTGGGGGAAAAATTAAAATGACTTTCTTCACTCTAGACTGTGCTCAGCCATTCACAATTAACAATGTCAATTTGAGTTCAAAGATTTTTCTGTGTTCCATGAGGCTAAGAACAACTTTTAAACAACATAGAGACTTGCCACAGAACATCAGAAAGTGTTCCCTGTATGAGTAACTTGCCCATAGACTAAGCTATCCATAAATATTTGTTAAATCAATGTTCAACTATTTAATCAGAAGTATCTAAATGAATAGAATAGTGCACATGCCTGGCAACCAAGAATATAACTACAATGCAATGAGCTGGCACACATGGTCACAGAGTTGGATCTGGAAAGGACATGCTTCTAGGATGGTGAGGCTGAAAACCTTTCATTTGCTTCATAGCACGGCAAGGGGACTAGAAAGCATTATTACAGTGGAACATACTGAGAGGGATAATAAGAGTGTGACACAATTCCTGGACCTCGGAAAGCATATTCTCTAGTCTTTTGCTGCTGAACAATAAGAACGGGAAATAGGCACAAGCCAGGGCTAGATCCGAGATAAATCTAAGGTCAACTCTTGGCAAGGCGGGCTCAGTCACTTGAAAAATCCAAGCTAAATGTTAATTCCCCACACTTAAGGAGTCCATGAATACCCCCTCTGAAAGCCTGAGAGTGCTCTCAGAGCAGCCTGATGTTCCAAACGTGTATGCCAAGTCGGGGGGCGGGGGGGAGGCGGTGTTCATGCCATCATGGATGTTGTCATTGTAAACTGACTGTACTTGGAGCCATCATTGCTTCCACTGTTTTATTTTGAACACAGGTCCATGGGAAATGATACATATGGCTCCTAAGACCTGCGTCTAATGATGGGGGGTGGGCACACACACACACACACGTGTGTATGTGGAATTAAATATACACATATTTTATTATGATTAATATTAACTATAATTTATATATACATATATATTTCAGCTCTGGAAGAAATGCTTCCCTGTAAATTTCTGTCTTCAAGCAGGCAAGACCTCCTGCACAGAAGCTGGCAGAAGAGCCGCTTCAACAACAACAGTACAGTGACTCATCTGTGTTTTCACAACACGTTTGTACCAGCACCCATGTCTATTTGTAGCCTGACAATACAGACCCTATATGAACCATCTCTGAGCTGTCTGCTTCAAAAGCCAGGACACTATTCTCAGTTGACTCATTTGAGCTACTTGTGCTTCTGAGAATAACCCACTGCCACATTTATGAAGGCATGTGATACAACTGAAGATTACTTCAGGCTATGCCCATGTCCTGCTAGATCTAGTGTTTAGAAGGTCAAATACACCCAGAGGACTTTACCCCCCTCAGAAAGCCCACTACATTCCACTACTGGTTATCTCTTGGGGACATAGAAAAAGAATGCCTTATCAACACCTTAGACTGTAAATGCCATCAGAACAGGGATTATTATCTATTTTGGCCTCTTATCTGTATCCCCAGCACTTAAAATAGTGTCTGCCACACAGAAGACACCCCATAAATACTTGCAATGGAATAAATCAACCTCTGCCATGGACCTGGGAAGTGATCTGGGACTTAGCACCAGATCCACAAAATAATTTGTTGTCCTGATGCCAAGCCAAAATTCCTAGTTCAGAGCATCAAAACTTCTGTATGTTCAAGTACAGAGATACTTTTCAACATATTAAGTCACTTTACTCCCTACTCCTTAAAATAGATAAAACCAATAGAAATATCAAAGTCATCCACCATCATGAGAAAACCTAGTATAATGACTACAGGTAAAAGGTTTCCTATTAAAATACTAGGATATGTAAAATTACTCTAAAACTATAAATACTATAATTACTATAGAACTATTGAGTTGGGGGTGTGTGTGCACGCATGTACACTAGTTAATTTCTAGTTACACGGATTGTTTTACAGCTATAAATCCAGTGCTTAGATCTATGCATCCATTCACTAAATAACATTAGTTTGCCCAAAATAAATAGACAACGGACTATTCGGTTCAACAAATATATATTAACAATCATTCATCTTCTATCCTTCTTCTTCAATGTTTCTGCCACCCACTGTGACTTCAACAAGTACCAAATTGCTTTACTTTGCCAATACATTTCTTCAAGGAAAGATATTTCAGAAGTGAGAAAAAATATATACCCTTCAATGTTTCCAGTCAAAAACTTTTAAAACTAAGTTCACAGCGTCAGTGAAATTATCAATAAGAGGTTACAAAATCTATTAATAAAATAAGCAGAACACGTCTAGCAAATGTCCTCCTAGGTTTGAATTTCGTACTTTGAATTAAGTCAACTCCTATGAGTGATGTCCAGCAAATGGGCATTTTAGTGGACAACCTAACATCCTGATGCACTGAAAGCTTTTCTGTTTCTCCTAAAGTCTGCAGGATCCCGAACATTGCTTACTCCACCGTGAAGGCCTTTCCCATGACATTGATCACAGACGAAATACCCATGATAAGTACACGTGTTCCACAACAGAATCCTTTGCTTTCCCCAAACTCGCACATATGGAAATTAATTCACCTAGGAGGGATCAACAATAGACTTCAACAGACTTCTACCTCATCTCAGATGTTGCATTTTAAAGCTAAGTCATACAAGGTTGAAAAGGGGTTCGATTCCATTTAAAAAGGCAATAAACTAACACACAGGATGTGCTGTTAATTCCTCCATCTCAAGGAGAAGAACATCCATGGAAAACTATGTGTTACAAAATGATCTGCACAAGAAAGTCTCTGTATATTCTGAATGACAGAAGGAGGTTTTCTTGCCACTGTCCCCAGATCACTGCTTTCATTTATTTTTCCTAACGTGGCTGCCTATATTATGTTCTTCGTGCTGGCCTCACGGTGCTTCCCCAGTGCTTTCTTTTCCACTGGTTTTCTTGAATGATCTGATTTAGTTATCATCATGCTCTCATCTGGATGAAGAATAACTGTCCCATTTGGATATAGATCAGACTTATAAAATCCTCTTATTGATATCACTGTCACAGTTTATTTCATTCATTCCTATCTTATGAATGAGGAAAAGAGGGAAGGACACCCTATTCACATACTTCATCTCTGGGTCCTACCACACTTGGTTTCTCTTCCTCACACTGCAGGTCTCTGGCTGGGAACACATGCGTATGTGCTTTCTGGCCAGCACAATGTTATTTTTTAAAAGTTAATTAATTGCCAATATTTAAAAATCACGAGATTTCACATAAGAATTTGAGTTTTCAGCCTTTTTATGAAAATCAAAAAATGAAGTAATACTGAGGGCATATTCATACAGGCACAAGCAAAGCTGTGTGGTGACTGTTCCCTTCTGATTAAGGCATGAGCCCTTAAAGGTCATCATGGTCCCCATCTGTAAGAAAGCCAAGCTAGCCATGTGGAAAAGTCATGTTCAAAGTCCTTAGTCCCCAAATGTTCCAAACATCCCAATCTAGGCACCACATATGTGAATAAAGAAGCCTTCAAGGGCACCTGGGCGGCTCAGTCCATTGAGCATCTGACTTTGGCTCAGGTCATTATCTTATGGTTTGTGAGTTTGAGCCTTGCATTGGGCTTGCTGTGCTGAAGCTACTGTCAGTGCAGAGCCTGCTTCGGATCCTCTGTCCCTCTCTCTCTGCCCCTCCCTCTCTTTCTCTCTCTCAAAAATAAACATTTAAGAAGCCTTCAGGTGACTCCAACCTCAGGTGCTACTTCACTACAAATGTGTGAGGCCCCAAGAGAGAACCACCCCAGAGAAGTCCATCAACCACCAACACCATGACCAAGAAGAATGAAACGGTTGTTTCAAGGCTCAAAGTTTTGGATTAATATGCTATGCAATAATAGATAAGGGCTAAAAGATAAAAGTGCTCTTAACAGACTAAATACAATTGTTTAAAGCAACTTCTCCCTTTTTACTTGGGTCGACATAGATGTCATATGTCATCTCCATTTCATTTTTGTGTTTAGGCACAATCTAAAACATAAATGTGCAGAGATAAGAAAACAAAAGTGGAAGAAAGCAATCTTTTGGAAAAGCTCTGCTTTTTGTTTTTACTTTAAAAAGCTGGCTGGCAGCACTTATGAATGTCACACAGGTTAATCAGTAATAAGCACTAACGTAGAAGGGACCGAGTTTGAAAAGGAAGTGAATCCGGTTCTTTCCCTAAGAATACTAGCTTCACTCACTACGCCGTATTCAGCACCTAGCACAATGCTTATTTTTTCTTAGCTTTGTACATATTTTTCTAAGTGATAGAGGGCATCCAAAACATCTTTTCTACCACCAAAACTTAGGCTGTTATTGATATAAAACGGGCAAACGGCACCCGTAAGGTAACCAACAGACTGTGGTTTGTATGAAGTAAGTCAAGCCAGGGTCTTTACAGCTTAAAGATCAGGCAGGTTCAAGAACAGGAGAAACAACTCTTAACTTGTATTCCTTAAAGCTGAGTCCTACCGATAGATACGCAAATCCAACCTCAAGCAAATCACTCAATTTTTTGATAACTGTTGGCTCATGTGTAAAATGAAGCTAATCACACATTCCCAGAAAGAATGGAATCATTAAGCTTAACAGAATATGGGCCGTACATTCAAGGTAGTAGAAGATCTCAACCCGGTGCCCTGAACAAAATTAAAGCAGCTGATATGCTTTTGCCCAAATAGAATTGTATCTCCTCATTTCCTTCCCTTCTTTTCCCCACTTGTGACTCAAGCCAGATTTCATCGAGCTATTTTTGTAATTACTAAAATGCTGGAAATATAGCAGCAGGCCAGAAGCAAAGTAAAATGCAGCATCCAGCAAAAGAAAGAAAATCACGCTGAGTAACTGAAAGGCCATCTGCTTCTAGCTGAGCTGTAGGGGTGAGGAAGGCAATCTGGGCTGTACTATTTGTGTCTCCCCCAAACCAGACCCACCTGCATGTTGTCAGTGGCATCCCCAAGCAGTCCTCCAAAAGTGATAGCATTAGTCACAGTTGCCAGATAAATGAAGAGAATTGCTGAAAGAGCCTGAATATTTAAAGCATCATAAAAATCACTGGCAAAAAATGGTGCTTTCCTCTTTATGTCCTTAATGAGTCCACCACAGAACCTGGGTAGGGAGAAAGCAAACATGTGACAAGGTAAAATAAACTGTCATCAAATTAACCAAGGGATAACTTATTCAACCACAAAGAATTTGTAGTCAAAGTGTTTGAATCAACATGCTCTATTTCACCACGTAAGGGGAAAATCGGAAATTTGTAGAAGAATCAATTTTCTTCTATCTGTCTCTGTTTTGGTCACTAAATTAGGTGTCGCATTCCCTAAAGAACAGTCAGTTTTTAGGTGAGAGTGAATGGTGTAGATGGATTAACATTTCTCACTCTTTATAGAAACACATCGCCCATGTGAGTAGAGCATATAAATCCTTATATAATCTCACCATCATTTCCTTCCCAGCCCCATTCACCATTCCACAAGTGTTTACTGAGCACCTGCGATATGGCCAGCACTACTCCACGTGCTGGAGACTCAACAGCAAACAACACAGGCGAAAATGCCTGCCCTCAGGGATTTTACTTTCCATATGGGGGCCAGACAATTTAAGTAAAATTGATGGTGCTAAAAATAAGGGAAAAAATTAAGTGGCGAAGAAGGTTATGAAATGCTAGAGAAGCAATGGCTGAATTATTACAGTGGCCAGAACAGGCCTCCCGAGTGGGTGACTTTGGGATAAGGTCCCAAAGGAAGAAAGCCATGCAGGTATACGGTGGAAGAGCATTGTAAGCTTAGCGGCATTCCACACGTTAGTAGGTCAGCTGCCTTACTTATGCATCTGTCAAATTACCCTCCCAACCAAACCTCACATTTCAGCCTTCCCCGTGCCCTTCCTTCTGTCTAAGGGGTCCTCCCTCAGAGAGTTCAGATTTTCACCATGGGCTATCACACTTCATCAAGACTGTCTGTATGTGTGCGGGCTTGCTGGCCCTCCCTGCACTCAAGGCCTCGCTTCGGTGTTTTTGGTCTGCACAGGGCTGTGCACAGTGCTGGACACACTGCAGACAGTGCACTTAGGAAAAAGTGAGCTATACAAGAATGAAATTCCAGTCTGATTAAGAGCTGAATCCCAGAACTCATATCTATAGAAAAGGAAAAAAAAATATTCCTAATAAAAAGTACTTTGTAAAGAACTATTCAGAAAAAAATAGGAGGAGGTTTTATGTTCTCCATTCTTTCAGAAAAAAAGGGGAGGGAAATAATATCCACTAAATTTCAGAGAGAAACCCAAGTGGACATCAGAAGAATAAAATCATTTCATTCAGATTCATTTGCTTATTAAAAAGACATACTTTTGTGTTTTCAAGAAACCCTTTAATGTTCTTAAAAGGCCCTATCTTTGGGCTCCTGGGTGCCTTAGTTGGTTGAATGTCTGACTTCGGCTCAGGTCATGATCTCATGATTTATGAGTTTGAGCCCCACATCAGGCTCTCTGCTGTCAGTGCAGAGCCTGTTTGGGGTCCTCTGTCTTCCTCCCCACTCTCTCTCTGTCCCTCCTCCTGCTTGCATGCTCTCTCTTCTCTCTCTCTCTCTCAAAAAAAATTTTTTTTAAAGTCCTGTCTTTATAAAATGAGTATCCTACTTAAAATTTTACTTAACCCAAAATGAAATGGAGAACCTAATAGTGGAAAGAAAAGGAGCAATTATCATAAAAAGAGATTTACAAAAGCAATCTGGGAAACCTGAATTCCCAACTGCAGGATAAGGAGACTATGACCTGTGAGTTTCTCATTTCTGTACCATGTTACCCACTTGTGAATAAATGTACGGAAAAGGGAGAAAATCACAAGACAACACATGATTCCGCCTTCCTGCTACGGACTCACACCCACCTATAGACCCGCTGGCTTTTTCTCTACCACCTCCTTCCTCACTTCATGGCCTGGATGCCAACCCAGCACACACCAGGCACTCTGCTGTCGTCTCCCCCTACCTCACTTCTGCTGGGTCTATCTCTACTTCCTTCAGGACTTTCCTCATGTGCTACAATTCGCTGTAAGGCCTTCTCTGAGCATCCTCTTTAAATTGGAATGCCCTTCTCCTATCACTAAACTCCCTACTTCTGCTTTAGTTTTTCCCATTAAACCATCACCACACTTTTTAATTTTCTCATTGTTTGTCTCCCACAACTACAAAGGAAAACCCCAAAGGACAAAGCGTTTTTGTTTAATTCACTGTTGCCTCCCCAGTGCCTGTGATTAATCAATATAAAATATCTGTTGGCTGAACAAATATACAAACCAGGGAATAAAATGCTGATAGGAAGATGAAGGGAAATTAAGATCTAAAGAGATCCTCATCGAGATGCCTGGATGGCTCAGTCAGTTGAACAGCTGACTCTTCATTTGCACTCAGGTCATGATCATGTTTGTGAGATGAAGCCCCAAGTGGGGTCTGTGCTAACAATGCAGAGCCTGCTTGGGATTCTCTCTCTCCCTCTCCGCCCCTCCCCTACTTGCTTGTACATGCAAGCGTGTCCTCTGTCTCTCTCTCAAAATAAATAAACATTTTAAAAAATGAAATAGATTCTCATGAATGGCAAAATAATCCATCAGTTACCGTCCAGTTCGCTGCAATTCTTCACAATCTGCATGTCCTCCTCCTCCTCCTCCGTGGCCTCCATCATGGGGTGTGTCCCCATTCATCTGAACATTCTCTCCACCTGAGTACATATTCTTTCTAAGTGAGACAACAGAGTCCAAGAGAATATCAGTTTATTTTATTTATTTGCATCTTATCTGTGTCATGCACTGGACTAAAAGGGATGACCTGAAAACTCTTTAGGAGAAAGATCATTATTTCCTTTGCCACCCTAACACACAACTCTTAAAGTGTTATATTTAGAGGGAAGACAAATGATTGATGAATAAAAAGCTGAATGAGTTGCATACTTTATAAAACAGTAACTGTTTCACCTGGAAAATAATAGGTTTCCAGAAAGTGGCTTCTCCAATCATCTCACCCAATTTCTTAACCTCTTAGATCTACATGGACTCATCGTGAGTAAACCAATCTTCTACATGTGCAGGAAGTCCCCAACACATCCCTCCAAAAATCTCTATGATGTATTCCAATATTATAATCTGAGATCTCTAATTTGCAATCACAGAAGAACATTACAACATATAACACTCACTTTACAGCATCAGCAAAATGTCAAACTGAAGTACATATGTGATTCATTTGAGATAATAATCAAGTTAAATGTGAACTTAAAAACACAGTATTAGGTCAGTCATGTGACCCCATTTCTTCTTCTGAATACAACCTCCTTCTCAAGGATGAAAACTCCCAATTGCCTGATAATTTACCTTTTGTCTGATGATGGAAGACTCTTAGGAGGCTCTATCCTGATTGCTGGATCCCATTCCCCAGGTGGAAGAACAATGACTTCATCTAGGAACTCGTCAATACCAGCAATCAGGTCCTGCCTGTCTTTAGCTTTATAAGCAATGTCATGGAACACCTAAAGAATAATAAGAGATGTGCTGATCCAACAAGAGAACTCTCTACATACCTCACGGCATGTCAAGCCTCAGAAAGGCAGCCTAGAATCCACTTAAACATTTCATATATATTTAATATAATCATATTCTCATATTTCCTATCAGCTTGTCCCAAGCTATTTTGGTATTCTGATTTTGAACCCAGAGAATGAATATAAGTGGAGGCATGAGAAAACAGCTGTGTTTCTTTTATATGTCTTTCTAATCAATACTGTAAAACAACATTGCCTTTCATCTCCCACTGGTATGTACCATTACTGATATAGTTGCTGTGAAAGCCAGATGAAAATGGCTTGGAGAAATATACAGAAGAGTCATTCTCTGAAATAAAAATGACTGGGGCAAAGCATTGCTGGTAATTCAAAAAGGAAAAATTCAAGCTGAGTGTTAAGATCAGGTTAAGACCCAAACACTGCAGCTCTTAAACACAAATAATGTTAGCTATTAAAAAAAGAGGGGCGCCTGGGTGGCTTAGTCGGTTAAGCGTCCGACTTTCGCTTGGGTCATGATCTCGCGGTTCGTGGGTTAGAGCCCCGCGTCGGGCTCTGTGCTGACTGCCAGCTCAGAGCCTGGAGCCTGTTTCAGTCTGTGACTCCCTCTCTCTCTGACCCTCCCCTGCTCACGCTGTCTCTCTCTCTCTCCTAGAAATAAATAAAAATATTAAAAAAATAAAAATAAAAATAAAAAAGAAAAATAAAAAAAGAAAAATCTAAGTTATGCTGGTAACACACAATGCAAAGGGCTTTAAGCAGGTGATCATCTCTCTATCCTTTTAGCAAGGCACTAACTAAACTATGCAAGGCAGCAAATGTTTCATGCCTTTTATACAGATATCCAAGAAGGACCTCCAGAATTTACATAATCCTCTTTCCCAACCATTCCATTCTTCTAACCTAGCTGAGGACCTGAAAGTCCTTTATGCATAAGCTTTGCATACCTCATAAGTCAAATTCTTTAGTCTCTAGGAGAGAAGATGGCCCTGCTCGACATCCTTACCTGTTCTTAAAGGTTGCTAGTAAATCTCTTCGCCTCTGCAAGAATTGTTAAAAGCTATCAAACAAATTACATGTGATGGTCTGGGGGTTGTGAGGTTAAGATTAGAGCAGTACAAAATGCCAGCACCTCATCTGTGGTGCTCTAGCCACTTGAGAGCCTGGAGAGTCAGGGGGTTGCTTTTCCAGCCTCCCCTGCAGATTAGAATTGACAGTTCTGACCAATGAGATTAAAGAACAAAGCTGTCTGTGAAACCTTTAGAATACCTGTTAGAAGCGATAGACACTCTAACATTTCCTGCTCCCTTTCTCCCAGCCCTCCCCCCCCCCCCGTGGTCTCCCCTCCCCCTGGCCCCAACCTTGAATATGGAAGAGATGGCTACAGTAGCCATCTTAAGGCCAGAAAGCAAGAGCCTTGGCTCTTGATTGATCATGAAACAGTTAAGTTAAACCAACTCTAGCAACTACCTACCTCCAAGTAAGCCCCAAATAGTTTAAGCCACTATAAATCACATTTTTCTGTCACTTAGAGCCTAAAGCTGTTCTAATTACTGCATCCTAGGAGACAGGATTTTTTAAAACAGAAAATGTAAACACACGAAAATAAATAAAAGAGCCCCCTGAGATGCTTAGTTGCCTCAAGGGGGAAGAACCAGCATAGCTATACGTCAAAAATGCTCTCAGTCCCACATTAAGTAACCATCTGAGTAATCACCAAATAAAGCTTCCATAACTAAATGCCCTATTCTTCACTTAACACACGGAGAAGCTAACAAATCAAGTAATAAAGCAATAGTGAAACATTTGGGAAAACAGTAAGCTAGAAAGACACAGAAGGAAAATCAGTAATTCTATATCCTAACTGTATTTCTCCTAGTATGAGACTAGTTTAGGGTTTCATCATATATAAAATGTGTGAACAACATTCAAGCTGTTATGAGAGTAAGGTTATAACTCCGAAGCGCTAGGAACTCTGCGGTAACGGCTGCTAATGCATTTTAGCATGTGTGTAATTCCTTCCCACAAGATAAGAAGACCATAAAAACAGGTGCTTTCTGATACCTAAGGAAAAAAATGCATGATGCATTTTATTACACATTGCTTTATAGATAAACTCATTATTTCTGAAACAATATGGTATAAGGACACTTGAACTCCCAGGATGGAATATATTAAGCATTTTAAGAGGTAAAGTTTAAGTTAATATGGTGATTTGAACTTTTTAAAGAATATTTAACATATATCCATTTTAAGAATTGCAAATGCTTACAAAAAGAAAGGAAATTATGTTTTATTCCAACATAAAATTTATCTTCTGAAAACTGTGTTGAGATCAGCTCATCTACCATGGATGACTGTACCTTATGCCATAAAGAGGGCCAGTGACCACATAATTTGAATTGAATAAATTGTGACAGCCAATTCATAGTATGAAAACTATAGAAATGGGACATTCACAGATCACCACATTCCAGATTCCCTACCTCATCAGACATCAGGGTGGCAATGGCTCTGCCGATCTCATGGTAGGACTTGGCTTTCCCCTTAGGACCTAAGAGAATGAACAAGAACCTAATGGAAGAGGAAAGAAGCAAAGGCTATAAAACATATTTCATCAAAGTCAAGTGTATATAACACTGAGACACGTTTATCATAGTTTGAAAAAAAAAAAGCTTAGGTCTAGAATTCATCTCTAAAACAAAGGTGATCCTCTTGGTAATATGAAAGATACTCTTTCACACTATCATGAAATACAAATTGTTGTTTCTTTGGAGGCAAAGAAGAATTTAACATGGAAACCCTGAGAAGTTTCTTCACAGGAAAACTTCACTTTGGGAGTCAGTCAATCTTTCTTTCCTAAACTTTCTTCTGTCTCCATTTCTCCTGACTTTCAGAATCTTTGGAGAAAACCCATTAAGCACAATAACTAGAAAGACTTAGGACATCTTCAGGTTTCTCTGACTTTTCCTTACTCATATGAACAGTGACAAATGATCCTCTCCATACTTTTAAGAAATATTTCTGCTCAGAAGTGACTAGAAGTCAGCAAAACCAAGTCTTCTACAAGAAAGCCACATGCTGACAGCCAAAGTAAAGAAAGAAAACTATGAGAGAAATTCAAAATAAAGCATCATTCATGGACAGTTAAAATTCTTTTGTGAGTGTCCTCATTTTTCCTCTCCAAACTTGTTTTCTTGATAATATACACGCATTGCTCCACAGTAAGTAGGTCCTGGAATTTGCAATAATGAGCTTATCCCCACTTCGGTTCATGTCTCAACTAGGGAGGAAGAAACCCAGTAAGTAAGTGAATAAGAAAAAATATATTAAAGGCAATGATAGATACATCTCTGCCTTGCTGATGATCATGTCTTACCTAATATGGAGGCAATAAGGGCAATAAAAATGATCACATCACATCTGCTCAGCTTTTTAAAGCTTACAAAGCATTTCATATTCATCACCTCATTTAAACTCCACATACCCTTTTGCAATAAGGAGAGGTGTCCTATTCCTGTTTAATGGTGAGCATACTGAGGCTCAAGGAGGTCAGTGGATGAGCCAAAGACTGGGCCTAGTAAATGAGAGACAGTAGATAGGCCTTCTCACCTCCTGTTCTTTTCAACACACAATGTGCCTTACATTACCTGCCCAATATATACACAGGGTTATATAATTCAACAGAGAAAAGCTAACTACAATGACTCCCACAGGTCACCCTGGGGAAAGATGCTGTGGATACTTAGCTAGGGACAAGAAATCGCAGGTAAAACTTCATAGCACTGGGGACAGGATGGGACTTGTTTAATAAAATTTTTATTTTATACTTATTTATTTATATATCTCACTTTAAATAAAAATGGGCTAACAGCAAGTACTCTTCAAAGTGTTAGGGTCTATTCCAAAAAGCCCTTGAATAAGCAATTTCTTTTTTTCATTATAAAATTCAGTCCAAAGGGGCAAGGGAGAAAAAAAAGAAATTAAGACTGTAAGAAGGTATCTGAAAGTTTGAATATTCAGACTTTATATCAAAATAACCATAAAACCATTCAATGCTTATTTGCTTAGAAATCAGTTCTGGCATGAGGCAGCACACTCACTTTCAAGTGTTATCACAGTAGATGAAAAAGCAAAAGCAATCAGCAGGCATGAAAGTCTGTTCAAGTATGAAGGACGTGATTATTAAAATTGGATTTTAGTTCTTCTAATATTGAAGTTCGGTTGATACTAGAACTTTTCTTCCTTTGAAGCTGGCCCAAAATTATACACCCCTACATACAGTATTATGAAATGCTTCTTAATGACAGTAAAATGTACTCTACAAAAGGGAATGATCACTGATTTGAGTGCAACATATGCAAAAATATTTAACTACCTAAGCAAAACAGAAATCCCATTTAGGAACACCTACAATACTGGTCACATTTCCCAATCCTGTCAGCGAGTCTAGCAATGGCCAGCTGTCAGGCAAGAAAATAACAACTTAGTTTTGGACAAAGGAGGGGGAGGGAATTCAGGGCAGAAAGAGAGAATACTGAGTACCTGGATCTTTTACTTATTCACACGTTTTTAAAAAATGGGTTTCCTTTACTTGCCATTTTTTGTTATTTTAATGTGACTGAATATTAGTTTTTCAGTAAGACATAATACCTAAGATCTTTCCACTCTGCACCTCTTCCTACCTTGCCCTAATGTCTCCATCATGATTATAATTTACAAATACACATTATGGAAATACACATTTATCAACTGACACATGAATTAATTATCAGGTTGACTATATGGCAACAAAGACAAGATGCTATCTTGTTAGAAAGTGAGACAAATACTCCCATTGTCAATAGTCCTCAAATATAAACTTTGGCAGATGATGGATAGCCATCCCAAGGGCCGAGAGTAACTGAGCCTCTAACGTAAGCCCTCTGGGATGAAGCAATACATTCTCTGTAAATATTTACTCTGGTCTTTGCTAAATAATACCAAAGGATGAATGGAAGTAGCATACCAATAGTGACTATAACATACATTATAGCAATAAACCCAATATATAAGAATTATATTGTTTCAGTAACTTAGATATAAAGGTACAATTTCTCTTTTCTGGGTAATGTATTTTTTATTTAAAAAAACCACATATATATTATATATAATATACAAATATTTATTAACACATATATACTGATTTGTTCTTTAATGGAGAATCATCAAGGGCCCAATAGAAATCAAATGTTACATTATCAGCTAAAATTTTCCATTACTCCAGTTAAGAGCCATTCAGTAAATTCAACCTCTTAAAAGAAACAGAGAAGAAATCTGGCCATCTATAAGTAGCAGGAAACATCACTTCCGGTCAAGAATTTCATCTGTGGGAACAGAAATCCCGAAGAAGCCCCTGATTTTGGACTGCATTCTTGAAATGGAGATGAGAGATCTGGAAAACTAGCAATGCAGAAAAACTCATCAAGTAGTTCTCTCTGCCTGAAACATGTTCTTTCCCCTTTAACCCCTCAAAGAAGCAAAAGCTGTTACAACTTTTATGACAGAAGTACGTCTTGCCAAACTCAGCTTTTATAATGTACTGAAAACTCCTTTCATGACCCAAGCTGTTTTTTGTCAATGGACAGATGTTATTTTTAACCAGAAGCTTTTTTCCTTATTAACAAATTAGAATAAACATCACATTTGTGTGGCTGGAAGGGCACAGCTCATGTTGACAGCTGGGGAAAAGAAATTAATTTATGCTACTGAGTTCTTTTTATTCACTCATAACTAGAAATAAAGTCATAGTTAGAATCTTTACTAATGCTGGCTGTCTCAAGTATCTTCTTGAGGCCCTTCTACTCTTGTGAGCTTTTTCACATACCTAATTATGCCTGGGGAGGATGCCTCTAGCAATCTCCATAACAAAAATAAGTACCAGATGATCTCTGTCCGGAACCAGTGGACTGTACTCATATTCACAAAATAATTATAGGCAGAAGCAGAGCACAGTATCAGAAGAAGAGCCAGCCTTCCTAAACCACTCAATCTTTGTAGAAAGGATATGCACCCCTCCCTTCCTGATATATCACAGCTATTTCTAGAATAAACTCAGCGTGTACCAATCCTTTACTCCCTGCTCTCAAAACGGCAGTGAATCAAATAAGCCATTATTCATATTTAGCAGTTTTAGAAATTATGGCTGAACTGTAGCTTCCACAATAGATGGGTGGGGCCCACAAACCCACCACAACCAGCCACATTACATATGGTAAACAGCAGCTAAAGCGTCGGACAAGACAGAATTGAAGAAGCTGGACCACTGTCCCAGTCCCTCTAATAAGATTTTCTACGGTTTTGATAATTAAGCACAAACTGCTTCTTTCAGGGAAATCATTTATAACAAAATATATATTAACTTACAGCGATACGAAAAGGGTAAACACTCTAAATTCCTAGAGGACTAGAACTTACAGAATAACTATTTTCCTTAAATGTGATAATCGAGATCAGAAAAGAACAAACAGATCAGGGGCTTTAATTTTTCTTCATGGGGAAAAAAAACCCTAAAGTATTTTGTTCTAATCCATTCTAAATAGCTCCTTAGATTCTCCCTAAAAGCCTGGCTTCAGAGTCAGAAATGTGCAGTTCTATTTCTAGCACTGATAGTGAATCTTCCCTTGACCTCCATCTCTTAACTGTGAAATGGGAATAATAGTCATTATCCCCCACATAGATCATAAATATGAGTTTGCAGCAGCCCCTATGGACATATAGAAGATGACAACAAGCAAAGTGTCTGCAGGATGCTAGGAAAATCATAAGCATATCCTACGAAGTCACGAAGTATCAACGGATGGTTTGCTTGCTTTCACGTGGATGGCAAGAAGGACCCCTAAGCACAGAATGTCCACCCAGTTGGCTGTAGCCCTGGTGCAAGCAGAACATTAAGCCCATAATAGGGTAAATATAGAAACTTGTGGGCACTACAGAGAGCCGCTAGATCCACACTTCTTAAAAGGTGCATGGCACTAACATCACTTATTATCAATAGCAATAATAGCAATAATAAACATAAGAGCATAACTTTCTTCCACCTCCTGGGAAAAATGACCATTACAAAATGTACACCAGAACAGACTTTTCAGGTTTCCCTGCAGTGACAGGACAGCACACTGGGGCACATGGCTGAGTCCTGCGCAGTTCTTCACGACTACCACATTCCTTGTGGGATTTCCTTGATTGGATTTCACAGGATGCAGCCATTGTAAATGGCCCCACATTACTCAGACACAAAAAGGCTAATGAGACTCCCTATGCAGTGATTATAGCATGCACTGGTTCAGAGGACAGCAAATGGATAAAACTATTTCCTGGAAAAACGTTAACATGCTTGGATATATTGTTCAGATTATTGCCCTGAAATAGTTTTATGACATTATTGAATTACGTTCCCTTGAATTGCTGGGCTCCCTTTGTTAATTCAATGATGCTGTATTTCACCTCCAGACTAGTACCACTCTCCTGTATGGAAGAAAAGAATGCGCCAGACAGGAGCAGATGATAAGAGGGATACACAAATGGTTATGATTTGCTACTCAATGAACTTGTATTATTGTTAAATAAAAGCCCTCTGAAATATTTTTTACTTGCAGCCTCTAAAGAAGAATAAGAAAAATGAAAATGCAAGAGCAATTTAACACCTCTTGGCATGTTTTTCTCTTTCAAGCCCCAATAAAATCAGTCCACAGAGACATAAACAAAACCATAGAACGCAGGAGCTGGACATCAGCCCTGATCTGAGTCAGCTAGCTGTTCGCCAGGTGATTGCTCAGATAGAACTGCAAGGCTCTGCTGGAATGTTTTCAAGTGAACAACTAAGTTACAGAAAACACAAATCATGATAATCACATTAATTGAATATGTTACGATCATCTCCTTTTCTCTACCATTTGTCCAATGACTGCCTACTAATGACCAGTATTATTCCAATTTTAAGTGTCTAAGACATATTAGTGTGCCTGGGTGGCTTAGTCAGTTAAGCGTCTGACTTCAGCTCAGGTCATGATCTCACAGTCCATGAGTTCAAGCCCTGTGTCAAGCTCTGTGTTGACAGCTCAGAGCCTGGAGCCTCCTTTGGATTCTGTCTCCCTCTCTCTCTGCCCCTCTTTGCTCACACTCTGTCTCTGTCTCTCTCTCTCAAAAATAAAGATTTAAAAAAATAAAATAAAGTGTATAAGAAGTATAAAAATGGGAGAAAATATCCGTTTGATAAGAAAAAGTAGCCTGTAATCTATGAATGGGAAGGTCATGAGGAAATGTTACGATTTTTCCTCCTAACGTGGCTCAAAGCAAACCTGGAGCCCCTTGTCTCTGTCAGTTTATCATGCCAAGACCATCTGAGATCACTGAGGAGTCACAGCCCTTCCTGCCCACCTGAGGAAAACTAAAAAGAGAAAAGTCACCTGTCCTTGCCTTGTACCCACAAAAAGCACCGTCCTCAAAGTTCCTATTCATACGATAATTTTATGGTGTTAAGTCAAAGTTTACAAGCAGCTCTTTAAACTCTTCTTCAGCATAAGCTGAAGTGAAGCATTAGCTTCTGTTCACCTACTGCACTCCATAAGTCAGCCTTCTAACTCTTGAGTTCAGCAGCAAGGCAGATAAACTGGATGACTTCTGAGGTACTCTGTGGTGTAGTGAGTACATGATCATAATAACTGTAATATGCATCCTTTTAGGATAAGAAGTATACAACATATAACAGGAAAGTGTGCAAATTTAAGTGTGCAACTTAATGACTGTCCTATATATGTGTGTATATATACACATATATACTTACATGTATGTATATATGTATGTACATACTGTCAATTTTCTGATAAAACATAGAGCAAATGAAAGCAACTCTGACCTCTGAACCATTTACCATCTGTATGACCTTGGACAAGTTACTTAAACTCTCAGACTCAGTTTATCTGCAAATCCTAGTTTATAATTTAAACATATTATGAGAATTAAAATGACTAATCCATAAGAATAAACTAGTACCTGGCCCAGTTAATTATTATAATTGTTATTATTACTCCTGTACAAGTGCCAAGCAATTTGAGAGCATGAAAGATGAGCTAAATCATTATTTCAGATTAAACCCTTCCGATATGCTTGCTCTGGATGTATCCTCATTCTGCTGATTATCTAGCCATGATTTCTCTATAAGCACACTGCAGACCCTAGCAGGTCAGGGAGTAGCTTACCTTGTGGGCACAGGGACCTCAGTCAGGGCACCCAGCATGACTGCCTGCTGGAGCCGAACAAAGGCAATGAAGGGAGTATCCAAGAAGTCAACCTCCCCGACAAGCACGTTGGAGGCTTCTGCATCACGTGGAAGTTTTTTCATGAACTTATTCTTTAGCTGCATGGGAAGAGCCAAGAAAACACAACTTATTTCCAGAGAAGGGAACAAGAGGAGACCCTTCATATATCACTCAAGGAAATTGCTTTATATGAGTCTGCACACAACGGGATCTAGCTAGCCATTTTTCTATTATGTTTAACCATTCTATTATAATAAACATTACTCTAGACTTTGGATTCAAAATACTGAGCGTATAGTCACACAACTTACATATAAAACAATGTTTACATATAAAACAATTCATTTATTTATCCACTCAGTCAATAAACATATGTTGAGATCTACTATGAGCCAGGCATTTACCTAAGCCCTAGGGATACAGGGATGGATCAATGAATTACATGTCTTCCTTGGGTCATGGGTCACATTTCATCAGGGGAGAAACAAAATATGATTTACAGTAGTGATAAGTGCTAAGAAGGAAAAACAGAATAGGTAAGAGGGTACTATATTAGGTACTATTTGGACAGAGGAAGCTCTGAAGAAGTACATTTTACACTGGAGTGAGGCGACAAGCCATGTGCAGATCTGCCTACAGAAAATTCTAGGCAAAGAGAACAGCAAGCGCTAAGGCTTGGAGGCAGAAAAGAGGCTGGCAGAGAGGTACAGTAAGAAGATGAATATGGTAGGAGCGAAAGGAGCAAAGGAGAGAAAATAGCAGCAAATGATGTTGCATAGGGAAGGGGGAGGGCCAGGTAGTAAGGGCCTTGAAGGCCACAATTAAGTGTTTGGAATGCTTTTAGTAGGACTTACCCACTAAAAATCCAAATGGGAAGGTGGAGTAGAAGGACATACATTTAGAAGTCATTACCATGGAAACAGAGTTTAAGACAATGAGACAGGATAACACAATCTTGGGTGTGAGGACCTTGAGCGTGAGTGTAGGTAAAGAAATGGGAGAAGATCTAAACCCTGGGCCATTTTATCTTTCATAAAAATGGAGAAATGGGAGGAGATATAGGCAGAGGACACTGACAAAGATCAGCCGTGCGGCTGGGGGAAGACCAGAACTTCACCAACAATCAGGTGAAGCAAGGGTTCAATGAAGAAAGTATATCAGCTGAGTCAAAGGCTGCTGAAAGTTCAAATAAGATGAGAACCAGGAATGGATCAATGAGTTTGTCAAGAAGAAGGTGCTGGGTGATCTTGACAAAAGCAGCTATGGTGGGTAGTGGGATTCCCAGTGAAGAATGAGAAGTGAAAAAGTGGAGACAAGGGAGTAGAGAGCTTTTGAGAAATGTTGGTACCAAGAAAAGATGAGAAATAACAAGGTAGGTAAAACATAAAGCAGAGAATTTCTTTTATTTTTTAAAAAATGTTTTAAATGTTTATTTTTGAGAGAGGGGAGAGAGAGAGAGAGAGAGAGAGAGAGAGAGAGAATGAGCAGGAGAGGGGTAGAGAGAGAGGGAGACACAGAATCTGAAGTAGGCTCCAGGCTCTGAGCTGTCAGCACAGAGTCTGATGTGGGGCTCGAACCCATGAACTGTGTGACAATGACTGGAGCCGCAGTCGGTGGCTCAACTGACTGAGCCACCCAGGTGCCCCAAAACAGAGAATTTCTTTTAAATGGCAAGAGTGCTAATACTTTGGAATGTTAATGAGACAGATTATTTCTGCAGGAGACAAAGGGGACAACTGCAAAGAACTCAGGGAACCCTGAGCTATGGAGAAGAGAATTGAGAAGTAAGATGATGGGGAGGGAGGAAGGGTATGTGGGAATTTGAGGAGAGGGGTAAAGGTGAGAAGTGGTTTTCTTGGTGAAAAGAAAACCACTACTTATGGCCACTTGGAAGGTGTATCTTTTTTTTTTTTTTGGCATGTGATATGGAGGATTTTTTTAAATAGTTTATTGTCAAGTTGGTTTCCATATAACGCCCAGTGCTCATCCCCACAAGTGCCCTCCTCCATGCCCATCACCCCTCTTCCCCTCTCCCCCACCCCCATCAGCCCTCAGTTTGTTCTCAGCATCCAAGAGTCTCTCATGGTTTGCCTCCCTCCCTCTCCCCAACTATTTTTCCCTTCTTCTCTCCCATGGTCCTCCATTAAATTCCTCCTAATCCACCTATATGTGCAAACACATGGTATCTGTCAGAAGGTTTATTGTGTAGGTGTTATTCGTCCCTTTCCCTGCCCTCCCCAACTCCCACTTAGAACAGGCGTGATGGAGCACTCTTCAGTGAGTGGGAAACACCTCCCTCAGCTCAAGGAAAACATTTCAACAATCATGGAAGAAAGAAGATGTGAATTCTGTAGGACCATATGAAAGACACAGACTTCTGATATATACTTATCATCAATATAAATGTCCCTCCTCTTAGGTCAAAAGTTACTAGTACAAAAAGAAGTCAGTATTTTTTGCCATGGATTACTGCTGAAATGGGAAGTGGAAGGCATGGCCCAATTCTCCCCATTAATAAAAAGGTTATAGTAGCAATTTCCATTTACAGAGTTCTTTTTTCTCTCCAAGTAAGCTCTAGACCCACTGTGGGTCTTGAACTCATGACCCTGAGATCAAGAGTCACATGGTCTACTGACACTCCCATTTATAGAGTTCTTAATTGGGGGAAATAAGTGACATGAGAAGTGATCCCTAAAACTCTATCACTCTCATTAGTATCATTAGTATATTTATAGAACCTTTTTTTTTTTTTTAGTTTGGCACTTTATATAAGAAGAAAGGTGTTAGGCAAAAAGCAAGCTCATCAGGGCTAATAATTTAATGGAAACAAACAAACAATGCAAATAAGTATTTTTAGATGTTAGGAACTACCTCTAAGCAGTAAGTGAATTTTCCAAAGTTTATACCATGAATCCTCCAAGAAATGCTAATATGTTTTAAATGTTTATTTATTTATTTTGAGAGAAAGAATGTGTGAGCAGAGGAAGGGCAGAGAGAGAGAGGGACTCCCTAGCAGGCTCCGCACTGGGTCAGTGCAGAGCCCAATGCAGGGCTCAAACTCATGAACTATGACATCATGACCTGAGCCTAGATCAAGAGTAGGCCGCCTAACCAACTGAGCCACCTAGGCACCCCTGCTAACATATATATATTTTAAATATGTTAGATTCTATAAATATTAAAAAAGCAGCCATGGGAAGGGTCTAAAAACATCAAATTGTCAAAACTGTTATTCTCACCTAAGAAAGTTGCAGTAATGAAAATAACACCAGTATAGGGTATGCCTAAGTGGCATGACTGATAAGAAAGTATGACTGCTAGAATAATCTTCAAATTCTTCCTAGAGAGTTCCCATTACCAACAGTGGACACAAAGCTCTATAGTAATCTGATTCAATTTCCCATTCTCTTCAGCAGACTCATTCTATGTAGTTAGGCAGGTAATCTGATCATAATCCCATTTATTTTATGTAGTTGGACTCCCACACTCATTATAAAATAACTTTCCTTTCCACATTTCTACCTTTTCTAAACATCCTTCAGAGCTCAGCATAAGCCACTCGACCACCTCAGCCCACTTTCTTGGGAACTCTTGAAACACTCATTTCTGAATCACACTTTTGTTAAAGTTTAAATCTTTCCCCTTAGTTTCGTGAGGATTATAACAGTTTATCCCCTATTATACTGGACATCTATTTTGCATATAACTCAACTATAATAAATATTATGAGTGGAAAGAATGAACTCTGTAGTACTAAAAGCAGACCAAAAAACATCAAGTGCCCAGGAAAGTTAGAGAGCCTCCAAAGACCCACTCTAGAACCTACTATGTCTGGATCTGTCACTAATCAATTACCTGACTCACAACACATGCAGAATATCCCACAGTTAATTATATACCTCTAAAAAAAATATCTTACTAGTACTATGTTACATTTACTAAGATTGTCATGCCCATATTGGAAAACTAGGAGTATGCTTTTAAGACTAAAGGAAATATACCATATTCTATATGCTCTAAAGAGAAGTAGTTGCAAAGCTGTGTTCCTTTAGAACAGCAAACCTCAAACATTGTTTACGAAACACTAGTGTTCTCAGAGAAACTAATAACTAATCTAAAATAAACAGGGGTGCCTGGGTGGCTCAGTTGGTTAAGCATCTGACTTTGGCTCAGGTCATGATCTCACAGTTCATGAGTTCGAGCCCCACATCAGGCTCTGAGCTCTCAGCAGACAGCTCAGAGCTCCAGCAGACAGCTCAGAGCCTGGAGTCTGCTTTGGATTCTGTGTCTCCCTGTCTCTCTGTCCCTCCCCTGCTCTCTCTCTCTCAAAAGTAAATATTAAAATTTTTTTAAATAAATAAAATAAACATGGATGGTGCCTGGGATACCCCAGAACTCAGCCCCCGAATGGCTCTTTCCTATCTACACACACTCTATATGCTAATGATACACACTTGTATCTTCAGCCAGGACCTCTTTCCTGAACTCCAGACCTATAACATGTATACTTGGGTGTCTAATACACATTTCAAACTTCACCCATCCAAAAAATGAGCCTCCCTCCCACCAGTAGTCTCCTCAAACTGGCTCTTCTTGCAATCTTCCTCATCTGGCCAATGGTAACCATCCTTCTATTGCCTCAGCCAAAATCTTGCAGTCATCTAAAATATTTACCTTCCTTTCACAGCCCATCCCCATTCTATCAGCAAATCCTATTGGAGCTATATGCAAAGTATATCCAGAAGCTGATCATTTCTCACTGCCTCCACTGCCAGTACCCTTGTTCATGATCATCTGCTACTATTATCTCTTCTGGATAATGGCACTGGTGTCCTAGTTGGATTATCTGTTTCTGCCCTTACACCCAATCTATTCACCAAAGTAGCCAGAGCAGTCAAATCAGGAGTCAGATCATGTCATTCCTCTTCTCAAAGCCCCTTTCACTAAGAGGTAAGGCAATGCTGTCAGGACAAGCCATAACCCTAGCATTATCTGACTCTTTATCAGCAAGCTGACCTTACTTCCTACTGCTCTCTCCCAGTCTTCCGATGCCCACCTCTCCAGACTCCATGTCCTCCCTCAAAATGCCAGCACACTC